TAAAGGCAGAAACAGATTGCACTTTATACTTTTTGGTAAAAACCACAGCATAAGGAACAGAATTAATTATGAAGTAGGTACTCAATAAATGCTTGCTTGGTTTCCTGATTTGTTTATGCGTCTTTTTGGTGTTGACAATCAACTAAATTATCAGGTTAAAAATAGAAATGAGGATATTAGTAAATCTACCAATTCATCTCTCTATAGCTGTAAATCTCAATGTGCAAAGGACGTATGTTAGGGATTCCTTACCTCAGCTTCAGAGTGGATTCCCTTAACTCCTGAAATTTTACTCAAATATGTTTTACATCTTCAGGGGAGCCTGGGTGGCTCAGTCAGTTGAGCGTCCAATTTTGTCTCAGGTCATGATCTCATGGTTCACGGGTTCCTGAGTTTGAGCCCCATGAGAGCACAGAGCCGATTTAGGATTCTCTGTCTCCCTCTCTCTCTGCCCCTCCGCCACTCACTTCCTCAAAAATAATCATTAAAAAAATAAAAAAAAATTGTTTTTACATCTTCATATGTTCACTTTCCTGAGGAGAGGATACATAGCTTTCTTCAGCTTCCAGGAAATCCATAACTCGATCAGAAACTATTAAAAATGGGTGTTATTTAATATATTCACCTGTACCATAAATGTCAGCACTGATGATGACAGAAACCTATCTACTTTTGCTTGGAATAAAGTATAACTTTTTTTTCCTCTGGTTTTTGACTTTCTTAAAGATCTTTATTCAGAATTAAGCACCGTAAGTAGTACCTGGAATAAAGCAACGTATAAAAGCACGGATGCAAACAGGATAGCTCCTGTCTTCTCCTTGTTCCCGAGTGACACTCTGTACCAAAGTGGCACTCTGAGTCCAGGTGCAGGTCAAGGTTGGTTTTTTGGGTTTTTTTTTTTTTAAATCATATAAAGTTCTAATGGACTAAGTGATCTGGGACCTGATTATGGGGGGAAATTACCTGTCTCCTTATGCATGCTCACAACCATTTAAAATCAACAGGAGCACTTCAACTAACGGTTCCTGCCACCTCACTTCAGAGAATGTGAGGCCATATGCTCCCAGCAGCAGAAGTTGACTTTAGAATCCATGATACATCTCACACCCAAAATTTATGAGTTTAGAGGTAGAAAGCTTTTTCTTTCTTTTTTTTAATCTAGACCGACAGAATAGATTAGTTAGTTGTGGTCAAATCAGGTTAAAGTGTTTCTCTACCTACTCCACCTTTCCCCAGTACTATGTTCTTAAGAAAGTTAATGTTTGACTAGTGTATTGCATTGTTGCAAATTGAAAAAAGCAGTTACTGTTAAGGAGCATGCCCTTTTTAGGAAGAAAAATAGGACCTTTATGATTATGCTATTGATTCAGTCCTATTTATGATAACATATAACAGTGAATCTCTCAGCAGCACATTTTATTATTATGTAGTGTTTAAGTAGCGTGAGGGCCTATGGTTTATGGCATTTTGATCCTGGCTGTCCCTCCAAACTTTTATCTTTAAGTTGGTCATAAACACTATATATCTTATGTTGTTATCTTTTCTGTTGTTTATCTTTTAAGTGAACATAAATTAAGATTGCTATAAGCCTACATTCTTATTTAAAAAAAATTTTTAATGTTTATTTATTTTTGAGAGAGAGGGAGAGACAGAGCATGAGCTGGGGGGGGGGTGGGTGGGGGGGGGGGCTGGGCAGAGAGAGGGAGACACAGAATCCGAAGCAGGCTCCAGGTTCTGAGCTGTCAGCACAGAGCCTGACACGGGGCTCGAACTCACAAACTCACAAACCGTGAGATCATGACCTGAGCCAAAGTCGCACACTCAGCCGACTAAGCCACCCAGGCGCTCCCATTACTATTTTTAAATGTTGGCTTCTTCTCAATGCATTTATTTTTACAAAGAGAAGACTGCCCCCTTTGGTGGTCATCAGAGAAGTTAAAACTTGGTTACATTCTGCATCCCAAGACAAGCACTTGGGAAGCCTAAAGGCATCTCTCTAAGGAAAACAAAGCTTTAAAATTATTTTACAAGACTTTGACTCATACCTATTTTAGGTTGGCTGTCAGGAACCCATTTGGGGTGTCAAGAGTTTTTCTGCTCCTCCTGTAAGTTCCAGAGCTTCCTTTCAAGTAGAAGTTTTAAACATATAGGTGTTCTACATAACATAAAAGCACCTGGCTTCTTAAGAAGACTGTAAACTGAGGGACAGAGAAGAAGTTACTTAAAAGGACCCCCACTAGAGAACACACTGGCAGCACCCAAATAAATCCATTTTAATTGTCACTTTATTTCAACTACATTTTAAAGCTGTGATATCATGAGTGGAGAGGGAAGCAGCTCATACAAAAGCCTGAGTTCAAAGAAATTGAAATTTAGCGTGGAATGTAAAACTGAGGGCTTTTACTTCTAAGAGGATGGTTGTGGAAATACCAAGGGTGAAGGACGTGGGTTTGGTGCTACAGCAGAAATAGTCTGGGGTGACCTTGCATTGGTCAGTGTCCATGAAGTAATGCTCTTTATAAGAGAAAAGCTTGTACTTGACAAGCTAGTAGAAATGTGCATTTCTCTTAAAAGTTTTTTATTTTTTTCCTGTCCTTCTGTTCTAGAAGGGACATTATAAATTGCTAATGAACAGTGACTTTCACATTTTAAGAGATTAGATTCCCCCAGGACTAAAATAAAGTGTGCTTTAGCCCTCTTACACACAGGATATCCCATTGGGTTCCCTGCAGAGTGCTCTCTTCTTGCACCCTTTGGTAAGGCTGCACAATGGGTCACTATTGTCTGTAGTCTTTTTTTACACTGGGTCTCTGGCAGCCAGAGGGGAAAATAGTCACACACAGGGAAATGGTGCAAGTTAAAATCAAGTAAGCCTAGTGGGGCGGTAATGACTTTCCCATCATCCAAGTCTTTGCCTTCAGGATATGTGAAGCTAAAAAACAATGTCACTCATTCAACGTTTATAGAAAACACACAATGTACGAGGTACTGTGCGAAGTACTGGAGGGCATGCGAAAGTATGCAAAACACAATCCCTGCGTGGAAGAATCCCGCCAGGAAGGGTATTTTCAAGTATTACTCAGACCTTATGATCCTTCAAGAAATTCTTGGGTGAATAAAATTGCACTTCTAATTTAAAATAAGCAAGAACTGGAAAAGCAAGAAATGGAAAAGACGCTATGTCTTTTAGGAAGAAGGTATGTAAATGTGTCTAAAATTTTTATTTCTAAGGTATACACAACGTGGCTTGGATGAATGAAGGAGTATGGGAGTTAACAGGCCAAGAGCGGCGCCAGGCTGGCCACAAGGGCCCCTTCTTGGCCGAGCCTGACTTCAAAAAGGCGCTGCTCTGATCCTGCACAGTTAGCTGAATCCGAACAAAGAGGCGACCGGCACTTTTACCTGGGAAGTGGATTAACTTTGAGGAAAAGTGGCCTCCGAGGAGGACAAGAGGCAGCATTCTACCTGGAGTAAGAAGCGCCTTCCCTTCCCCCCGGACCGTGCAAGCTCACCTCCCTCCCGACTGACCTCACCCTTGCTCCCCGCCCCGCATCCCTACACTGGCGAGGCGGTGGGCCGCGCTCGGTGGGGTTCCACCGCCCACTCCACGCCAGCCGCGCTTGCACACGCCGACTCCCGCCGGTAGTCGGCCACGTGCGCCCGGGTCTCCGATCGGCCCACTAAGGGGCCGAGCGCCTCCAAGGTGGCAGTGGCAACCGTGGTGTCCCGATTTCTGTCCCTCCGCGCTTAGCCGAGAAGTCCGGACAGCGGCGGCGGTGGCGGGAGAGAGCGACTCGGCCCCTCCCTAGAGGGGGCCGCGCGACCGAGGGCTACGGGCACCGCCTCTGCTGCATCCGTGGCTGCGCGCTCCGCTCGGCTCAGACCCGCTCGGATCCGGAGCCCGCGCGCGGCGCTGCCTTCCCTTCCCCCTCTGCCGCCGCCCCGCGGGCAGCTCCCCCCGGCGAGACGCACGTTCGATCCTCCTTCGCCGGATTTACGGATTTCCGGGGGCAAAGAATTTTGCCTCAGTCCCTACCAGCATCTCTTGGCCTCTCCCCCCCTCTCCTCGCGACTCCCCCACCCCGTGGGCGCGCGCGCGCGCGCACACACACACACACACACACACACACACACACTCACACACACTCACACTCGCAGGCGCGCGTGCGCACGCCCGCGCGCCCCGAGCCGCGGAGTCTCCAGCAGATCCCACTCTCTCGGGCGCCGCTACTCACACAGGCTTCCAGTCGCCACGGGGCGTCCTCTGTCTGCGGCAGCAGCGGCGGAGGCAGCACAGGGAACCGCAGCTGCAGCCGGGCCGCGTCTTGCAGCTTCTTGTCCGGGACGGAGTCCGGGAGAAGCGGACGAGGAGGACGACGAGGCGAGGAGGAGCCGCGCCGCGCCCAGCGCCCGGCTCCCGGCTCCTGGCTCCGCGCGGCGGGCTGCCCCCGCTCCCGGTATCGCGGATCCAGGTAAGCAAGCAGCTCCGGGGCCCGCAGCATCCCTGGGGTGTCCGGGCTCGGTGCCGGGATTCCCCGGTCCCGCCCCCGCCATGGCCCCGGGACGGAGGCTTGGAGGGGAGTGGGCTCCCGGGAGGGGGAGGGGAATAGAGCTAGAGGTGAGGCTGGTGGGGAGGGGTACGTGGAAGCGTGGAGGCTTCCGCGCAGCCCCCTGCGCCTTTCCCCGCTCTACACCAGCTCCAGCCCTGTCACTTTTGCGAGCCTGGAGGTGCCCGGCGCTCCAGACAGCTGTGTCCTGCTCTCCCCGCCGCCGCCAGCCCGTGTTGGCTCTGGGCTCCGAGCCCGCCGCGCGCTTCCCACCTCCCCTGCACCTTGGACAGCGCACCCAGCCGCCCGCCGCCCCCTGCACGGCGCCCGGGACGGAGCCCTGCTCGCGCAGCCCTCCCCCTACCCTCTTCTTGTCAGGTTGTCACCCTCTCGCCCTGCACCACTTGTCCTCTCTGTCTTGGCGGACTCCGCTGTGGTGCGGGCCGGAAACTTTACTCCCCTTCTCGTCTGCGCTAGGTACTGTTGTTATTTTGTGACTGTCCCCTTACACGGGGAACCCGGACACCTTGGACGTGTCTTCTTCGGCGGGAGCAGGTCCTGGCCCGCCGAGTCGAAGGCAAAAGAGGCACTGGGCAGCTGGACTCGGTGGCTGCCAGGGTGCAGAGTCCGCGCCTTAGGTCCTGGACGCCTGCCGCCTCTCCGCCTCCCTGCCTCTCTGGACTCGACACGTGCGCGCCTCCCACGGACGCGGCCCCTCCCCGACCACCCCACGTCCTCCCCCTGCACGGCCACGGCCACCCCATAGGTTGGACACCCGGAGTTCGCGGGTCCTGATTGGCTGAAGGCGTAACCCCGCCTCCTTCCCGGAGGGGGTGGTTCTGGAGTGTTGTGGTTGTCATCCCGCGGCGCGCACATGGGGAAAGTGGGGTCGACAGGTGGGGAAGCCCGGGTGGGTAGGATCCCCGTGTCCCACCCTTCTCCTTCCGAATACACTCCTCTTCTCCTTTTCTCTCAACATTTTGCTCCTGTAAGTAAAAAACAAAACAAAAAAACAAAAACAAAAACTGGCTTGAAACCCTACTTTTATCAGTATTGCATTTGTTTGGTGGTAGAGATTTGGAAAGCATATCTAGAAGAATGAGGGAAACAAATGCATGTGGGGACGGTTCGTGGCAGACTGGGCTGCAGTTTGAGTCCAGTAGTTTGGAGAAAGTAATGGGTGGCTAAGAGATCTGAAGATGGAGAAAGTGGGAGGGAAATTGTTTCTTGGATAAAGGAAGACGAAGGTGGGTGAACTTGGGAAGCTAAGGGGAAAAAAAAAAACAACTGGGTCATTTATGGGGTGACATGTGAAGGAGAAACCCATACGGGCACTCCCGGGAGGCGAGTGGGTTCTGCTGAAGAAGGCTCCGTTCCAGAAACGGGTAATTTTCGATAATATTTAGTTCATTATTAGCACACTTTGTTTCTGTTTTGCTGGCGTTGTCCTTTTGATAGGAGACTTTATAGTAATGATGTCAAGCCATGTAATGGATTTTGCTTATTCCCGTTTTGTTGTGATATATAGATTTCCAAGTGGCAATGAATTTCAAAAAGTGAACTTAAAAGCTCCTTTAGAGGGATGCACTAAATAGTTAAGGCAAAGTGCTTTTGAAATATTGTGAAGGAAGACAGATGAGCATTGCATAAAATCCAAAGATTGTTCTGGCGTTATTTAGGTCCTTTGCAGCAATACATACACACACACACACACACACACACACACACACACACACATATGTGTATATATATATATGTATAAATTATGTATAAATTATACTGATTTCTCTTTATTTCAAAACGTGATTGCCTCTAGCATTTTCAAGCTTTGATTCCTTCAGGCCGTTTTGATGTTGTGTCTGTACATCTAAGAATATTGTAATTCTTATCTTTAGAAGCCTTGTCAATGCAAAACAAACAGCAACTGATGCAAGTTAATGTTGACAACTTTATATTGAGTACACTGTGTGTTATTTTATTTGCAAGCTAGTGAAATATGCAAGAGTAACATAGCATGACTGCTATTCCCCAGGGACCCATATCAAAACAAAGTGGGGAATCACATGAGGCTATTCCAAGGAGAACAGTTCAATTATTTTAAAAATGAATGTGTTTTAAGATTCTTGGGTGTAAGCAGCAACAGTATTTTCCCATTTCAATTATTATCTTTGTAAGCAGTGGTAGCACATAAAAACTCAGTAAGTCCTACAGCATGTTAAATATGTTAGGTAATTCCAAAGTAGATAGATAGTGAAGGTTTTCCTTTTGATATTATTTGTATGTAAGTAGACAAAATTGATTTTATGATTGTAGGACTTGTATGGAAGGGACAGATTTGATACATCTGGCAAACTGGAAATTATTGCTATTGTTGAAAAAATAGGTCTTACTATGTTTTTGTATCTCTAGGTCATACTTTGATTTGCCTTCAATGGATTTAGATTCTAGTTTTTGGCCTATCAAAGTTAGATGGCTTTTGAGGTAGGTAGAAGATGAATGTATATAGTCGCACATATGTATATCTGCAAAATATATGTATGTATAGACCCACACAGCTATATATGTATACACGTCATTTTGGGGTACATTCAGTGTATTTATTTATATATGTGTTATTGTCATTCTTAAATTTTTTCTCATTTCTTCTTGTCCAAAAGGTGGCCCTGTTTTAAACTGTAGAAAGCATTATTACCAGTAGAATTGGCCAATAGATCATGGAAACAGACAATAGTATTTTGTTGCTTGGCAACCACCTACTGTGAATGAAAAACAAAGCAGTGACAGCTGCTTCCACATCCTGATACCCATACTGTAGCTCAAGCATTGAAGCCCTCCAAGTGAGACAGATCTAAGTTTCATTTGAGTCAGGTGAAGCTCTTTCTTTTGGGGGATGTTTTTAAAAAGAGTATTTACATTTTTTTGTCATAAGAATTACATTGTTACTGTGGGATGAAATGAAGCATCTAATTTAGGTTGCCCTCTTAATCCTAGCATAAACTGAAAGACGCAAGATAGGGTGACTTGTTTAGACCCTTCTCATTCTTCCCTTTGTAGTCGTTAGACACTGTAAGCACATTTTCTGCTGCTGTCAGATGCTTTTGGGGTTTTACAAAAACTTGAGTTCTCCGTGACACCTAAATAGATAGCTGGATTTCACTGCTAGCAGGGAATTAGAGATTTGTGCTCTGGCCTCATTCTTTAATTTCATGGGACACTGAGGCACAGTGAGGTCATGTGACTTGACCCTGGTGACAGAACCATCTCTAGAATGTCTTCCCTTGGGTCACATTTGGAAAGTTTCCCCCATTTCCTCCCTGGAATTATTCTTGTCCTTTAGTTACATAAAGTTTATAAAAAAAGATTTTTATCCTAATAAAGATACTTAGAAAATACAGCAATATTTGGGAGTACAAATTCAGTATTGACACCAGGCTAGATTATGGTGTTAGAGGCATTGTATATCATGTGTTCTCCCTTCAATATAAAAAGTCCTAGGACTCCTGTCTTTTTCCCCCCAAGTGGGGAAGCCCCATCCCTTGCTTTGGTAATTGTTTATACTTTTGGACAATCTTTAATGATCTATTATTCTCTGAGTGAATTTTAAACAGGGATGAGATTGAAGATTGTGTTGGTCAGCTTGTATACCAGCGAGAGTTTAAACATTACAGCTAATTAATCACTCGTTCTGGTCTTCTGTCTGCAACGTGGTGGAAATACTGTTGGTGTAGTGATTTGGGCTCTTTAAAGTACATGGGGCAGACTGTGTCGCTACATAATATTCATTTCAGTCTTTTATCAAAGCTCTCTTGCCAAAGATGCTACCTGAAGCGTGTTGGTGGAGGACAAGTCGCGTATCTGTGGGAGATGTAATCGTGCCAATTGTTTCTTAACTCTAAGATGATAATGAATAAATTACTGGGTGGCAAACTTGGATCACAGATGCATCATTAGGCATTTCTTCTAAACTTAGGAAATGTATTGCCTGTGTGATACATTTTGAGGTTCCTTATGCTATTTTAAAGAATCTGTATTTCATTGTTTATTATTTATGTCAAAGATAGGCATTTAACTTTAATGTAACAATTGCAGTAGAAAAACTTGAAGTGGTCTGGTTGGAGAAACAATAAAGTGACAGTATTAAGTACCATTGAAGAACCATTTTCACCAGAAAAGCATGCACTTTAGCAGATTTATAGGGGGGAATAAATTGATTTAGAGCATGTTTAACCTAGTTTTGGAAGCCTGCTATTAACTTGTTCTAGCTAGGAGAATTTTCAAGCAGAATAATAATTTGGCAGATTCAAGTGAACTTCACTGAATTTTTTTTAAAATTTTTTTTCAACGTTTATTTATTTTGGGGACAGAGAGAGACAGAGCATGAACGGGGAAGGGGCAGAGAGAGAGGGAGACACAGAATGGGAAGCAGGCTCCAGGCTCTGAGCCATCAGCCCAGAGCCCGACGCGGGGCTTGAACTCACGGACCGCGAGATCATGACCTGGCTGAAGTCGGACGCTTAACCGACTGCGCCACCCAGGCGCCCCGAATTTTTAAAACTATTTTCCACAGTCTGGTTATAGTTTGTCCAGGGCAAGTACTTGTTTCAGATCCTCTAGGATTAATCGAAATTTCAAGATTGCTATTATTATTTTTTAAAATATCTGAGCCATTTTTCTTTGGAAGGTGGGATGTTAAATATTCTGTCATTCATGCATTTAATTTAACTCACTGGAATTTTGATGTTTAACTTCCCTATCCCATCTTCAAGTACAAGATAATGTGTGTGTATGTGAATGTGCAAACACACAATACTTACATTTCCCCCCTTTTGTTGTTTTCATTCTTGTAGTAGAACACTAAAAGACTTGATTTATGGTTTTTTTTTCATACAGTAAAGAGAAACTTTAAACAAAAGATATTTATGTTTTCAATTTCCTTATGTCTGTTTCCGCTATTATAACATGTAAACTCTCACCCACACTAATAGGATGATTGCTAAAAGCAAGCATATATATGTGTATATGTGTATATATATATATACATATATATGTATACGTATATATACGTATATATACATATATACGTATATATATGTATATATGTATATATACGTATATATAGGCAGCATCCCATTTGTTACCCTCCAAGCTAGCCAAGAAAGCATATTTTCTTATTTTTAGACAGACATATCCTTCCACACACATACCTACATAGACATTGAGTTTAAGGTCCTATAGACTCTTCTAAGAGTGGACAGGAATAGTGTGTTTATTGGGAGCTCTGTGCATGGTAATGCTGGTATATTTAGTAAAGTGTATATATTCAGATTTTCAGAAATATAGTAGCATAGGAAGAATTTCATTGAATTATTCCCTTTGTAAGATTTTCAAATTATGCTGAGAACATAACCCACAACCTTACGACAGTTCCCAGTACCTACAATAGAGCCTGGCATGGAGTAGACACACAGTACCTATTTTGTGGAATATTCACCTGCCCTCCTTTTGTATATATAATGTTGCAAACACTTCAGTCGGTGTCTGCATGAATAGTATAAGTTGAGAAGATGGAGAAGAAATTACTGTAGTTTTCTAATTGTTTCTGGCACTATATTAAAAAAATAACTTAGCCAGTGAGATATTGTGGGATACACTTCTTGTCAGTGTAGAAAGTTATACCAGGAGTATTGATTTTTCACAAATACAGCCATCCTAAGTACAGAATAGCTCTTTAATAGCCCACAGCAGCAGAACAAAGGTTATGGCAGCTAGTCCAAAGCAATACTTTATTTAGTTGGAGCTAGAGGGTGAGGTTTGCTAGCCCCAGTGTAATTATCCAGACTGGAATGTGGCCAAGGGGCTGTGGTTAACATCCCAAACAGTGGGAAAAAAGCCATGGATGAGGTCTTTAGTGACTGTGAGTGGCCAGACCTCTGCTATGGTCTCATTTGCAAGAGAGCACTTTTAGTAGCTTAAAAACCACAACAACTG